TGTATTCACCTGAACTCCACGTTCAGAAAATTCCAAAATTTTTGTATATATATATTTGTATATGGCTGAAAATTCCCGCTATTTTTGAAAAAAATATGTGTCTTTCTGCTTTTTTCTTTTTTTCCGGGTCAATAGCCAAATGTCTGTCCACAAAAATGGCTCCAAATGGAAAATTTCGTTCACTGTGTCAGAGTGGGCAACTAGCAGCTTTGAATATGTGTCAAAGTTATCTTGCCAAATATGGGAATATGCGGGTCAATGCAAATATTGAAGATTTGCCTGCTCCCGAAATGCCCTTTTGTGTCAAAAAAGAAAATTTCACGAGTACTCACTTTGATCTTGGGTTTTGGGTCTCCTTTGTGGTACCTTGGTTGTTGTTGTTTTGCTGCGTGTGTCCGTCCGCTTCTCCTTTACTGCTGTTTCCACAATTTTCGGGGTTGTTGCTCTTTGTGTCACGGTATATTGTCTCTTGTGTATCACTGTGTATTGTCTTTTTATTGTATAAAAACCTTTTCAACTTTTTATTAATTTTTTAGATTTTATATTTTTTAAAATTGAAGAAAAAATTTAATTTTTCTAAAATTTTAAAAAATTTTATTTTTTTTTTTTTGTAGCACTGTGTAACTTCACTTTTTGTTGCACTGTGTACTGTCTATTTTTTTGTAAATTTTTGTAATTATTATTATTTTTTTTTTTTTTTTTTTTTTTTTTTCCAAAGTTTTTTTTCTCAACACTTTTTTAACTTTGCACTTATTTTTGAACCCCACTGTATTTTTTTTCTATTCTTTCACTGTTCTTTTTTTTTCACTTTCTTTTGTCCGTCCACTCACAAGTTTTTTTCGTTTTTAATAATTTAAAAAACTTCACTTTTTGATCCGGCTCTGGAGGACCAAATGTTTTTAGGCTTACCTTTTTTGCCTTTGAGCCTTTGAAATAATAAAAAATTTGTTTTGTTTTTTATCTTGTGTTTTTATTTATAATTCTTTATATTTTTTCTTGGGGGTAGTGCAATTTTACATTTAGGGTTTTATTCATTAGTTTGTAAGTAAGTAGAATTCAAGTTTTAGTTTAATATAATTTAAAGTTTTATATTCAAAATTTTGCACTTCGTTTATTTTATAAATTTTAGGTTTTAGCACAATTTTCTTGTACGGTTGTTTTACAATTTTAATATTTTTGTGTTGTGTAAATTTGTTTAAATTTTTGTTAACAAATAATGTCCACTGTATGTAAAATATTCCTTTTTTTGTATATTTAATAATTTTGTTGTTGTTCACTGTGTTCTATGTTAAATGTTAATTAGATAATTTGATCACTTGTCACTCGGGGGGGAAACTTGTCTTCGCGACGGTAATTGCTTGAGAACTAACTATTGTCCAATTTGCATCGTCACATCAAACCTGTTTTGGCTGTTGACGATGCTTAGTTATTAGAATTCAGCATTGGAATTTACCGGTGGCTGCATAAATGTATGTGTGTATGTGTATGTATTTACATTATTTACATCATTTTGTTATGATGCCATTTATGCGGCCGCCGGTAAATGCCCAACCAACAGTGTTGGGCAAATTAATAGCAATATTATGAACATGCTAAAAAACCCCGAAATGTCAATATTTAAGGAGTTATGAGCATTTTAAAATTGGCTATTTTTCCTCTTTAAGAAACTGCAATCAAAATGATGCTAAAAACCCCGAAATGTCAATATTTAAGGAGTTATGAGCATTTTAAAATTGGCTATTTTTCCTCTTTAGGAAACTGCAATCAAAATGATGCTAAAAAACCCCGAAATGTCAATATTTAAGGAGTTATGAGCATTTTAAAATTGGCTATTTTTCCTCTTTAAGAAACTGCAAACAAAATGATGCTAAAAACCCCGAAATGTCAATATTTAAGGAGTTATGAGCATTTTAAAATTGGCTATTTTTCCTCTTTAGGAAACTGCAATCAAAATGATGCTAAAAACCCCGAAATGTCAATATTTATGGAGTTATGAGCATTTTAAAATTGGCTATTTTTCCTCTTTAGGAAACTGCAATCAAAATGATGCTAAAAAACCCCGAAATGTCAATATTTAAGGAGTTATGAGCATTTTAAAATTGGCTATTTTTCCTCTTTAAGAAACTGCAATCAAAATGATGCTAAAAACCCCGAAATGTCAATATTTAAGGAGTTATGAGCATTTTAAAATTGGCTATTTTTCCTCTTTAGGAAACTGCAATCAAAATGATGCTAAAAAACCCTGAAATGTCAATATTTAACTAGTTATGAGCATTTTAAAATTGGCTATCTTTCCTCTTTAAGAAACTGCAATCAAAATGATGCTAAAAACCCCGAAATGTCAATATTTAAGGAGTTATGAGAATTTTAAAATTGGCTATTTTTCCTCTTTAGGAAACTGCAATCAAAATGATGCTAAAAAAAACCCGAAATGTCAATATTTAAGGAGTTATGAGCATTTTAAAATTGGCTATTTTTCCTCTTTAAGAAACTGCAATCAAAATGATGCTAAAAACCCCGAAATGTCAATATTTAAGGAGTTATGAGCATTTTAAAATTGGCTATTTTTCCTCTTTAGGAAACTGCAATCAAAATGATGCTAAAAAACCCCGAAATGCCAATATTTAAGGAGTTATGAGCATTTTAAAATTGGCTATTTTTCCTCTTTAAGAAACTGCAATCAAAATGATGCTAAAACCCCGAAAAGTCAATTTTTAAGGAGTTATGAGCATTTTAAAATAGGCTATTTTTCCTCTTTAAGAAACTGCAATCAAAATGATGCTAAAAACCCCGAAATGTCAATATTTAAGGAGTTATGAGCATTTTAAAATTGACTATTTTTCCTCTTTAGGAAACTGCAATCAAAATGATGCTAAAAACCCCGAAATGTCAATATTTAAGGAGTTATGAGCATTTTAAAATTGGCTATTTTTCCTCTTTAGGAAACTGCAATCAAAATGATGCTAAAAAAACCCGAAATGTCAATATTTAAGGAGTTATGAGCATTTTAAAATTGGCTATTTTTCCTCTTTAAGAAACTGCAATCAAAATGATGCTAAAACCCCGAAAAGTCAATTTTTAAGGAGTTATGAGCATTTTAAAATAGGCTATTTTTCCTCTTTAAGAAACTGCAATCAAAATGATGCTAAAAACCCCGAAATGTCAATATTTAAGGAGTTATGAGCATTTTAAAATTGACTATTTTTCCTCTTTAGGAAACTGCAATCAAAATGATGCTAAAAACCCCGAAATGTCAATATTTAAGGAGTTATGAGCATTTTAAAATTGGCTATTTTTCCTCTTTAGGAAACTGCAATCAAAATGATGCTAAAAACCCCGAAATGTCAATATTTAAGGAGTTATGAGCATTTTAAAATTGGCTATTTTTCCTCTTTAGGAAACTGCAATCAAAATTATGCTAAAAAACCCCGAAATGTCAATATTTAAGGAGTTATGAGCATTTTAAAATTGGAGTAGATAGGGGTTGCTGATTGACGATATTAATAGCCAAAATTTAGCTAAAATTTAGTAATTAGTGTCACTATAGAGTAATTAGGGTCTGAAATGGGGATAATTTATGTGGATTTAGTAGCCGGGGGGGAAATGCAGGTGTTCAATACGCATGTCAAAGGCAAGGCGTTGTGGTTGACGATTTTTTATAGTCAAAATTTAGCTAAAATTTAGTAATTAGTGTCACTATAGAATAATTAGGGTCTGAAATGGGGATAATTTATGCGGATTTAGTAGCCGGGGGGAAATGCAGGTGTTCAATACGCATGTCAAAGGCAATGCGTTGTGGTTGTTATCCCTTTTATTTGTATTGATCGTGTCTATGGCTTATTTTCCACGATGTTTGATTTGAACGTGATTTGTTTACGTGGTGTAAATGGGGATAATTTATGTGGATTCAGTAGCCGGGGTGAAATGGGGGTAATTTATGCGGATTTAGTAACCGGGGGCAAATGCAGTTGTTCAATACGCATTTCAAAGGCAAGGCGTTGTTATTGCTATCCCTTTTATTTGTATTGATCGTGTCTGTGGATTTAGTAGCCGAGGTGAAATGGGGATAATTAATGTGAAATTCAGTGTTCAATGCATTGCCTATGACTTATTTTTCATGATGTTTGATTTGTACGTGATTTGTTTGCGTGGTTTGTTTGAGTATAGAAAATGCAGGTGTGTAATATTTTTAGGGGATGATTGTGTGTAATGTTTAAGACGAACTCTATTAAGATGATCTTTTGAGCGGGCGATGCAGGTGGTTATGTGTGTGTGTGTGTGTGATGGTGCCTATGACTTATTAACCACGGGGCATTCTATTGCAGTTAATATCGTGTAGTGAGTTATTGCATGCATATTTTAGGGGATGTTTGTGTGTGTGTGTGTGTTGTTTGAGACGCACTCAGTGTCGAGATGACCTTTTTTTTTAGGATGGCGCCTAATTTCTTTACATTACAAATGTGTGTTTGAATTATGATTTTTTTTTTTTATTTGGAATTTCCTTACTAACAATTTGTGTATTATATTTGACTTATGAATTAATTATCAATAAATTCGGAAAAAGGTTGACAATTATTCTAAAAATATTGTTTGAGTGATAGAATCTTGATATTCGTCAAGTGTAAGATGAATTTATTGGTGACAACCAAGGGTTTCTATAATGTATGCAGGTGTTAGTATTGAGACATACTTAAGGCTAATTTTTTTGTTCTAGGGAATTTTTAAGATGTTGTGTTTGGGTAAAATAATATTCTTATAGAAGACAGTCAAAATTTCCGCGGTGTAAACCATTGTTGTATCAGCATCGATGTTTTGTGAAAAGTCTGTTTCTCATATTCACTTTCTGTTGAGACTTCGACTATAAAGTATCAAAAATTTTTTTTACGCGTGAAAAAAAGAAAAACCTTTTTAAAATGGAATCCGGAAAATTTGTATGCAAACTCTGCTCAAAGAAATCAGCTAGCCCTTCAGCTTATAAAAAACATCTAGAAACGCACAAAATGTGCAATATTTGCAAGAAATTTTTATTGCATTCCGCAGCTCTTAAGCTTCATTATGCTGTGGAACATTCTGAGCAAGGAACGAAACCACAGCAAAAAGAAAGAAATTTTTGGGAATATGAGGAACAACAGAATCAGTTTCGCAATGAGATGAGCATTTGGGTGCAGCATCACCTTAATAATAATTCACCAATGTCGAACGAACAAGACATTCCACAGGAATATAATAATCAAGACCACAATCAGTCAGGAAGATCGACGCAAAATCAAAATATCAACCATCACCAACAAAACCATCATCATCATCAACACCAACAACATTTCGAGCATCAACAACAACAACAATGGAATCAACCACAACAACAACAATGGAATCAACAACAACAATGGAATCAACCACAGCAACAACAATGGAATCAACCACAACAACAACAATGGAATCAACCACAACAACAAGAAGAACAACATTTAGATAATCAAATGCAAAATGAACCTTGCACAAAAAGAATAAAATATTGCATTTCATGCAATGATAATATTTTATTAGAAACATGGATCATGCATTGTAGATCAGAATTGCATAGAAATAAAAGCGAGAGAATAATTAAAGAAAACCTACAATCAACGAGTTCAGGCTTTGAAAAACGAATTGAGAAGTTCCAATATAAAATAAGCAATAATACTCTCGATTTCAATGAAGTAATTCGCAATTCTGAAAAATCGATTATCGCACTAATAGAAGACAAGTTAAGCACACATTATTTGATTAAATTCAATCTAAATGTTGTTGGCGAATATTTTAAAGAATCAGCAGAAAGTGATGCGTTTAATACCATATTCCACAACACCAAAACCACACAAATCACATTTTCTGATGATGTAGCGGAAATTTTAAAACAGCATTTTGATGAGTTGAAAAATAAGCTGTCGGAGTTCCAAGAACGTGACTCTGGATGGGCTCTATCCCAATTTAAAACACTTGAAATAAGCGTTAACAAATCTTCTCCACTGAAGGGATCGCAATATATACCAACACCAGCGAGGCTTGCAAAGAAGAAAGCATGCATCAATATTTCGAATAATGATGTGTATTGTTTCAAATGGTGCATAATTGCCGCATTCGGAAATAGGCTTACGAATGCTGGTAAAACATCATCATATAATATCAGAAATATTGCAGATCCGATAATAATTGTTGAAGATGGATTTAGATTAAATTTTAGTGGTTTACAATTTCCATTAGAATTGAGATCAATAAAAATATTTGAAGAAAATAATCCAAATATAAGTGTTAACGTTTTTGGGTACGAGGAAAATGCTGTTGTTGGACCATATCGCGTCACTAATAAAGAGAAGCCTATACATATCAATTTGCTGTTGTTGGAAAACGAAACCAATTCGCACTACATACTAGTTAAGGATACATCAAGGTGAATAATGAAAATACAATACACATAAATATTTCTAATAACACATAAATATTTTTCTTTTTAGATTACTGTCATCACAACTTTCCTCAGGAGGAAATCATCTGAAAATATGTAATACATGTTTTTATTACACACCAGATTTGAGACTTTTTGAGGGACATAAGGAGAATTGTAGTGGTGTTATTACACATTTCCCCAAAGATGGTAAGAATAGATTAGCATTTGCAAACTACAAGAAGCAAATGGATGTTCCCTTTGTAGTGTACGCTGATTTTGAGTGTGTTTTAAAAGATACTGGGGGAGTGAGTAATACCATAAATAAGCATATTCCATGCGCTTTTGGTTTTAATGTAAAGTGTAGTTTTGATAGTAGTTTAGATAAATATTATTCTTATACCGGTGAAAATGCCGCTCAAATATTTATAGAAACGTTAGAAAGCGTAGGTAGGAATATTTATAATAATTATTTGAATGTAAACCGCCCAATGACACCATTGACATTAAATGAAAAAGAATCATTTTCTTCCGCGGTGTATTGCCATATATGTGATGACGAGTTAGGTACAGATAGAGTTCGTGATCATTGTCATATAACTGGACGGTATAGGGGAGCAGCTCACAATGAGTGTAATATAAATTACACAATTTCAAAATTCATCCCTATTTACTTCCACAATTTCTCTGCTTATGACTGTCATTTGTTTGTAACAAATTTGCTGAGTACAATTGAAGGGAAAACAAATATTATACCTCACAATAAAGAATTGTATACATCTTTATCACAAACAATAAAAATGAGTGATGGTAGATATGATACGCTTGAATATAGATTTTTAGATTCTTTCCGCTTTATGGCAGCCAGTTTAGACGCATTAGCTAGTTTCTGTGATGATTCAGACTTGACATCTATAAGGAAACATTTTTCGAACGATGATGAGTTTAAATTGATGAGGAAAAAGGGTATATTCTGTTATGAATACATCGACTCATTTGAAAAATTAGAGGAAACTGCTCTACCTCCTATTGAAGCATTTCATAGTAAATTAAATGATAAAAGTTGTAGCTTAGAAGAGTATGAACATGCAAAACAAGTTTGGAAAACATTTAAATGCAAGACAATACGTGATTACATGGAATTATATTTAAAAACAGACGTGCTTCTTCTAAACGATGTTTTTGAAAATTTTAGGAAATCATGTAAACGAATTCACAAACTAGATGCATGTCAATATTACACAGCTCCTGGTTTATCTTTTGATGCTATGCTTCGTCATACGAAAATAGACTTGGATTTGTTAACAGATTCAGACATGTTTAATTTATTTAAAAATGGTATAAGAGGTGGCCTTACACAATGCTCTAAAAGACATACCAAAGCAAATAACAAATATATGGAAGATTTCGACAGTAGTAATCCATCTAGCTATTTATTGTATATAGATGCTAATAATTTGTATGGTTGGGCTATGCAACAATACCTGCCAACAGGAGATTTTGCGTGGGTTGATCTCGACAAGACGCCTTTTGATGCTCAGACAATAAACAATTTTAAAGTAAATCAACAAACTGGATATGTGCTAGTAGTTGACTTAGATTATCCAGAGAATCTTCACGATAATCATAATGATTTACCCTTTTGTCCAGAAAATAAGAAGATTGGAGGTTCAAAGTATCCAAAACTTATAGCAGATTTTGCTTCAAAAACCAATTATCCAATACACTACATGAATCTAAAACAATGTTTAGAAAATGGTTTAGTCTTAAAAAAAGTTCATCGTGCTTTATCATTTACACAATCTCCATGGCTAGCCTCGTATATTAATAAAAATAATAAAGAAAGGCAAGAAGCAACTAACGATTTTCTTAGAAACTTTTTTAAGCTTCTAAATAATGCAGTTTTTGGTAAAACTATGGAGAATGTTGATAAACGAAGAGATATAAAGCTAGTAACGACTTGGCTTGATAAAGCACCAAATGTATTGGGTGCTAGATCTTTAATGTCTAGACCGAATTTCAGCAGTGCAACTGAATTTTGTACAGATTTTTGGGCTATTGAAATGAATCGGCTACAAGTAACATACAATAAGCCTACATATCTTGGTTTCTGTATATTAGAATTAGCCAAGTGGAAGATGTATGATTTCCACTATGAATACATGAAGAAGAAATTCGATGAGCGCGTAATTTTAAATTATATGGATACTGACTCTTTTATATATACAATATTTTCTGAAGATGTCTATGAAGAAATAAGACCCGACATTGATAGGTTCTTTGACACATCATCATACCCAGAAGATAATAAATATAATATACCCCGCCGTAATAAAAAGGTTATCGGTATGATGAAGGACGAAAACAGTGGGAAAATTATGACAGAATTTGTTGGACTAGGGCCTAAAATGTATTCATATACGGTAGATGATGGTCAAGAAGTAAAAAAAGCGAAAGGTGTCAAAAAATGTGTCATTGGGCGGTACACCATAAATAACTATAGAAACACCTTATACAATGAAACTAGTACTAGTGATTACATGATAAATTTTAAATCCAAATTACACCAAGTGTATACAACCAAGTTGTATAAAGTAGTTTTAAATTATAAAGATAGTAAAAGGAAAGTAAGATTAGATAAAGTAAACACCTATGCTTGGGGCCATTATGGTATTGAGGATGAGGATGATCTCAGTAATATACTGCAGAATTATGAATCGGAAATGGATATTGACACCAATTTAATTTAATATATTGTATTATTAAATAAACCAACAATTTGTTATTTATTTGTAAGCTATTTATTCCACATTTCCTTTTTCAAATAAAAAAAAAAAAATAATAATAATAATAAATAAAACATTTATAAAGTAATTTTTAATGCTTTTTTATTTTATTGAAAGTTTATGACAGAGGTAAGTACAAAAAAAAAAAAAAAAAAAAAAAAAAAAAAAAAGTATTAATAAAGAAAATAAATTAAATGAGAAAATCTTTAGATTATCTTTCGAACAATTCCAGTGAGTGGTGTATATTCAATTAATCGATCATGGAGTATTAAACAGTATGCTGATGTTTTCGATGGTATTGGTGTATTAGTTTCAAATTCCAGCTTAACATCTATAGGTCCGCTTTTAATGACTTCGTTTTGATAGCTAACATCAATTACTGCAATTGGCATGTTTTTAAACTTTTCCCATGATAGAATTGGTTCGGGTTCTTTTAAAAAGTAATTTTGTTGAAACTTTGCGTACATATCATATAGTACTGCATATCTGTTGTCCTCAAATTTTAAGTTCAAATCATCATACGGATATGTTTCGGAATTTAAATGAACCTTAACATTTACTAAATTAGAGTGAATGAATTTTCCATCATTTTCTAGAGCTAATATTACAAAGCGTGGTCTTTCTCTATTTGTTGATAATTTAACATTCCAATGACATTTTGTTGAACCTGGAAATGTTGGATTAAAGTGACAGTCCCAGCTTCGAAACGCAATAGGGAGCGACTTTCCATTGTTAATTGTTTTCATAATTTGTAATTTAGATGCATCCGATAAATGTATATGAGGTATTCTCCATGTTATATTTGTGATTGTCAAATTTAATTTTTCTTTCGAGTCGGTAGAATAGCATGCATATTGATCAGTTGAACTCCGCAACATAATAAGATCATGTTTACTATGTAAAATGACTCTGTTGTAATCTTCCGCAAACCCCAACAGCCTTTTGAGTGGGACGCAAAAGTTGAATACACCCATGCTTAGATCTTCACCATTATTCCATCCTGCATTTCTCATTATGTTGCGTTCAGCACTCGATAGAGAAACAAAATTTTTTATTGTGCTCGATGCACCTAAATGGCGTGTGCGATCGACTTCAATACCATTTATTTCATATCGGATTTCATCAAAGAAATAGGCTACGCAGTTATTACGCAAACGAGCATTAGACGATAGTTCTCCTCCTGGTAATGTTACGGAACCTTCAACATATATATAACTTTCACTTGGTAATAGATATAAATCTTGATTTTGAATTGTAATTCTTATTTCATCATTGTTTTTGAAAGAACGGATGTATGGAACATAGCTATGATAATCTTTTTTAATAATTGTGTCATCTGAGAACGGTCTGTCTTCAACATTAAGTATTTCAGTCATTTTCCTTGAGACGTAGTTTAATAGATTTTAAAAACTGTTTGCTTTTATCCGTGAGTGGTAATGTTTTAGGGTTGATTGTTTTTATTGGAATGTTTAAATATTTCTGTTTATTCATATATTTATTATAGATAATCATTTTGATATTGGTCTCAAGTGTAATCGAAGGGTAATTTCTTCTCCTCTGAAATTTATTAGTCGTTGATTTTGATCAACGATCCACACTTTAAGCGAACTTATTTCTTTCGCATTCACAGGAAGATAAATTAAATTGCTTGGTATTTCATCCATTTTATATCCAGGGGAAACATTTATACCAAATTCGTGTAGAGTATGCACAGGCGCATTATTCATGTATGCTCCAGTTGTTATATTGCATTGAACTTGTATTGCGCTCACTCTTAAAATATTTACGGGGTAATGTGAAAAATGCTTCACACCAGGTCGTAAAACCCCACCATTAAAACCAAAAAGCGTACAGATAGAACGTTCATTATTAAAATCAATAATATCATGGGATGAAAATATTTCAAGTTGTAATGTGTTGTTATTAGCTATAATATCTATAGTTTTTGTGTTGTCTTCGTTTTCGTATTCACTTTTAATGTAGTCGACAATATCCTCAAGTTCATAGGAACCAATAGGAACTTCTATTGTTTTATTTCCAATATGAAACAAATTGTTATCGAAATCGATATTTGGTATAGAATTGTATGAGTGGAAGTCAACTAATGAACACTCATAATCCTCATGTAATTGAATTGGTGGGAAATAATTAGCAGTTAAAGTTGAAGACTTTCCGGTTAGCGCAAGTGTAATTGACATATTGAAGGCTTATATAGAAATGAAAAGACATATGTTTGGTATTTATAAATTAAAAAATTTTATTATTCAAATCTTATGTATTGATGTAAATAGATATTACAATATTTTCTTATAATAAGTCGTTTTTATTTATCCAAGAATTATGATTATTAGAGAACCCCAACCATTTCACATATGCTTTATCTCCCTTGGTCTTTAAAACTTTCTCCACAAGATAAGTATTAGGATATCGTGTACGTTTCAATTCTTCTTTATAAAAACCACCTTTGATGGGATTACCTGCATAGTCTTCCAATAAATATGTGACTGGATTTGTCACTTGAATTGATTTTATTCGGAATATTTCTGTAGTATAATTCGGTGTATACCCTTTTTCAAAAACATTCTTATATTTACTTATTCGAACATAATCTCCTACACGATATTTAGATGGGGGGAATATTTTAATATGATTATAGACAGTATTAAGCAACATTGTTTCATTTCTCTTATTAACTTCTATGGGTGCCATGTGGATAGTGCGATGTATTCGTCTATTATATTGATCAACCAGTTTTTATGAAGGTCAATCCATTGATATGTTCCATTATAGGAGAACTCTCGAAACATTATAGATTTTAAGGTACGGTTAAACCTCTCAACGACAGATGCTTTCATAACACTATATGTTGAATAATGATTAATTGAATATATTTTCATAAGTTTAGTAAAGTCTTTATTAAAAAATTCTTTGCCATCATCAGTTTGTAAATTTTTGGGTATTCTGCCACCATTCAAAATTTTTGTGAATGCTTTGCACACATCGTAAGCACCTTTTGTTTTAACTGCTTCCGTCCAGGCATATTTAGAGAAAGTATCAATAACTGTGAGCAAGTACTTCATTCCTTTATTAATTGTAGAATAATTTCCCATTTCCACTAAATCCGCTTGCCATAAATCGTCAATGCCTTTTGTTATAACTCTTCGGCGAGGAAATCGCTTTCTCGCTTGAGAATGAAGCTCATTTACAATTGCTCGTCTTTCCATTTATCAGTTTTTGAGAACTTGGTCAAGAATAATGTTTTGAGGTAATGACATTAGTGAACCAACGCCGTATTTGTTTCTAGAACCCCTGAGTTCTTTTCTTAATAGATCTATTTCTTTTCGCAAATTTCTTATTTCGGATGATACATCTCTTTTTATAATTTCTTTAACGTGTACGATTTGTGTTTGTAGGTAAGCTTTGTTGACTGCGTCGTTATTTTCCGACGGTTGGCCCAAATTTTTAATTTTCCTATTTTTGATATCGATGTTATAATGCTGGTCAATAGCAATGCCCAAAAATTTTGAGGCATTTTTTCTAAAAGTATTAGAGTTGGAGTAGTGACCGAATTTATCGACGCTCATTTCATAATTGATAATATTCTAATAAAATCAGTGTATTATATTGGCTTCTCTTAACTCTTCAATAATTGATGTGATTTCGTTGTCCTGATTAGTATGCCCAGCATTTTTAGAAGCTATTAATAATTTTAAACGATTAACAAGTTCATTAGGATCATCCCAATATATATAGTTTGGTTTCTTGAGAATAACATTCATTAGGCCCTCGCCAGTGTGAGTAGATTGAAATAATTTTTTAATTATTTTTGTATATTTTGGGCCCCGGTTTCCTCTTATTTGTCCATTAGGTTCATTATTTTTTCGATGTACGCATGTATTTTCCAAAATTTTCTTGTATATATCTAATTCATATTTATCGTAACCACTTGGATTTTTATGAAACAGTAGGTTATATAAACCAGCTGTTAGAGCCCATGTTTGATTTCCAATTTTTATTTTATCATCAACAAAATATAGCTTGCTATTTCCAAAATTCCAATCACCTGCATCGTCTTTGTGTGGACCATATATTGTATCAAATGTATTTTTTTCCAATAATGCATTCAAATTGTTATCGCCATTATCATATACTGTTTCTGGTTCTTCGTCGGAATAAAATGTATCATCAATGGAGTCATCTTGATCCTCGTGTTTAACACTGAACTTGGTTTCATCTTTCTCCTTTTTAGATTCATTTTTAATTATGTTCATTTTATTCTTGGTCTCAGCCAAATTTAAATGAGATAATTTTACAACATCTTTTAGTGGTTTTATTATTGGTTTGAATGTGTACTCCAATCGCTTCCCCATCTCGTTCTCTCCCAGTTTGATTGATTGAAATTTTCTTTTTAAAACACTCCTCGATTTAATAAGTTCTTTTAAAACGTCGTCGTCCATTTTTCTAAACCGATGGTTTTCAAACTGATGGTTTTTAAAGTGGCGGTTTCTAAACCGATGGTTTTCAAACTGGTGGTTTCTAAACCGATGGTTTTCAAACTGGTGGTTTCTAAACCGATGGTTTTCAAACTGGTGGTTTTTAAACCGATGGTTTTCAAACTGGTGGTTTTTAAACCGATGGTTTTCAAACTGGTGGTTTTTTAAACCGATGGTTTCCAAACTGGTGGTTTCTAAACCGATGGTTTCCAAACTGGTGGTTTCTAAACCGATGGTTTCCAAACTGGTGGTTTCTAAACCGATGGTTTTCAAACTGTTTTTTTTTTTTTTTTTTTTTTTTAATGAAAGGCTGTAGCTTTCAATATAGCTGGACGGATTAAGCGCAATGACTGATTGAATCAAAGTATAATGGAATACTAAATATGTATAAACACATTAAATCCTTTTCTATATCGGCCATTCAAAATGCTGTCATCTTTGCTTATAACTAAAAATCCATATTTATCCTTCCAGCATACTCGACAAATCTCGACAAACTTGTTGAAAGACATATCTCCTCCAACATG